CTGAGCCGACCGCTGAGCTTACATACAATGTTTTCGAATGCCCAAAAAGACGATTGCTTGTTTCTTTCTCTTTTGGGAAAAATCCCGCGCATGGTCTGCCCTTCCCCCCCCCCTCGGCCAATGAAATCCTACTAACAAGCATTAATAAGATAACGTTGGCCTTCAGCGGTTGAGGGTGACCCGCAATTGGCAAAACAAGGTCAGCGATGGCTTGTGTTGACCCAAAACGACACAATAACAACAATTCGCTGCTTGCAGCGACATTTGGAAGCAAAATGTGAGGCCCCCCGTGTAGACAGATAATATTCTCCTGAAATCTCAGCCTCCTAGTTCTTCTGGTTTCTGAGTTATTAATTTTTCCCGTCAAAATTTTCACGGGGCCATACGTGAGATCGAGGCATGCGGTGAAGGCTGAATTTAAATTTGTGAAATTGCACATGGCTGGAGAAAATTCTACTAAAATTTCAGCTTCCTAGCTTTTGCGGTTCCTGAATTGAAAGTGGGGCAAAACGCAATCGGATATACACATACACAGGGGTAACATAACACTATGCGCTTTTTTTTAGTTGTTACACAGCACAAAACGCATAAAAACTGAATGTCACATGAACACTCAGTTGTTCGGTTCTTCATCATGTTTCACAAATCTTATCCAAGGATATCGCGTGGTTTTCTGTTTCTTCGGGAAGATAGTTTTTGAGCTCATCCCAGATGTATATCCAGCCAGCTGATTTATTTTAGAACATGAAATCCTCATCAGCCGTAGATCCTCATCCTGAGATCCTCATCCTCATCAGAGATCCTCGTCATTCCCTGCCATAGATGGAGCCAAAGAAAGTACGGTGCACTAGGGCATTTTTCAAATTTTCCTTGTTTTCATATCTTTTCCCATACCGCTTCGTACAGCATAGAAGTGGAAAGCGACAAAATCTCTTAAAATTAATATCAGAACGAAAAAACATTTTTAAAAAAATGGTCATTTTCATGATTGGTTATGTTGAGTGCTTTTATTCAATATAACCGATCATGAAAACGGCCATTTTTCTGCTACAAATTTTTGTAAAATACCAAATTCTGTTACAACAAATTTTTGCAAAATATAAATCTCTGTTACAAATTTTTGCAAATTTTATTACAAATTTTTGCAAAATTGCAGGAAAATTAAGCGATAAAGGAAGTGAGATACGACAGAAATCCGTAACTTTGATAGCAAAATATTTGGATGGCGAAGGCAGTGAAAAAGGATTAAAGCTTGCCGAAGAAGTGAGGTTTTTTTTTTGATTTTTTTTTTTAGGAAGTTATCGAGGTAAAAAGGATGGCGCGATAGCGTATTTTTCGTTTTTTTGTCATGTACTATAGAAGCGTGATCGCACAGTGTTGGCAGATTTGCTGTATTAACAAAAAGCGCTATATTCGTGTTATAAGTCGAACGTTGAACTCCATGGCCAGGAAAACCAGTTTTTATGCGTTTTGTGCTCTTCAACAGCTGCACAAAACGCATATTGTCACGGGGTTGTCTGTGTGTGTATGTGCGTGTGGGTGTGTTTGTGTGTGTGTGTGTGTGTATGCCCGCAGCAACTTGTCCGCAACTTTCAACTCGGAAACCACAAAAGCTAGGAGGCTGAAAATTTAGGGGAATATTCCCTGCTTAACGTGACCCCCCCTCAAATTTAAATTCAGCCTTCCCTTGCCTGCGGGTAACAAGTACGGCGCCATAAAAGTTTTGACCGGTAGAATTGTTTTCACGAGAATCACGGAAGCTAGAAGGCTAAAATTTTTGAGATATTCACCTTCCGATGTTTCAAATTTACCTTTCATGTACCGGTGCGTGAAATTTTAACTGTTTTCCAATGTTTGATCTATTTTTGCACAGACCAAAGTACAAAGCAGTGAAAATCATTAGCAGGCAATCGTTCGGTGGGTGGAATTGCTCAAAACGCATGATCGCACCCGACTATTCTGGTGTGCGCTGCTATTTATTTGACTTAATTTTTCGATATGATTTGACTCTGAATTATACCGGGAAAGCACAGACTTCATAACTTGTGTGAGTAGCAGTCTTCGGAGAAAGGGACCGTCGACATCTCTGCCATCGGCCTGCGATGATTTTGGCGCACAAAAAAACAGCTGTTGCTTGATAATATCGCAAAAAAGTGCCTGTGCCAAGTCAGTTGCCTAAAGTCAATTTCGCCGTTGTTTTTTCGTCATTTATTCATTTTTTTTTCAGATAGAAGAAGCAATTTATAGCGAATTTGGGGATCCAAATGATCACAAATATCGCTCACGAATTCGATCACGAGTCTCAAATTTAACTCATAACGCCCAGATCCGCGAACTCATCCTTCACGGATCAGTGGCGCCTGAACGAGTTTGTTCCTTTTATTGCTTTTTATGCATTTTTTGCAGCTATGCAATGCAGAAAACGCATATTGACGAGAGGTTGTCTGTATGTGTGTCTGTGTGTACGCTGCGCGTCTGTACCGGATTTTTCATCTCGAGACCACAAAAGCCAAGGGACTTAAACTTGGGGAACTTATTCTACATGCGTGTACAGCCCTCCATCTCCGAAATGGGCGCTCGTACCCGCGTGGTATCCCGTACGGGCCCGTGAATTTTTTTCCAATAAGTTGCTAACTCAGGTGCCAGGAAAGCTAGAAAGCTGAAATTTTAAAGGGGTTGTTTCCTGACAGTTCTGGCGGCCAGTCTTAATTTGTTTAGCTAGAAGCATTTGCCGGAAAAGACCGGTGCCGATAGCGACAAAAACTGCAAGGAACGAACTATGCAAAAAACGCATCTTCGCATGGACGTTGACCACTTATTAGTAATGAAAATTTGGCCATGTTGCAATTGAATACACTTTGAATTTGCTTTTTTTTTACATTTTTTTACTGGCTGCGCTTGAACTTTGGGCCTAAAAGCGCTGCTTTTCGTCATGTTTTTATGATTTTTGCCTTAAAAATAAGTCAAATAGGGAGAAAGTGAGCCAAAAAATATGCCTTTTTCCTTTAAAAAAAGTGCTTTTTTCTTAAAAATATGCCTTTTTCTTTAAAAAAAAAATGCTTTTTTCTTAAAAATATGCTTTTTTTCTTTTTTTAAGTTTGCCAAAATGACGCCCGAAGAGATGGCAACACCAGAGCTGCGAGAGTTACGTGATAAATTGGCAGGCGAAGCACTGGAGCAACATATGCTTCCACAGCTAGAAGTCCCCGGCAACGATAATTACAAGAAAAGCGAAAATGCTGTGTGATTTTCTGCAAACTCCTCAAGCTACGTGTAAAAATTGTATGTATGTGCAGTTTTAATTTTCTTTATTTTCTCTAACCTCGTTGTTTTGGGCGTCTTGAGAAGCTTTTCAGGGTCCTGAACTGAATGCTAGGAATTTTTTGCTGGTCCGAACGAGGTAATTTTAGCGAAATTTGTAAATCCTGCGAAAAACATGAA